ACTTGTAAGTATTTTATATAGAAATATAAGCTTATAATAATGTAAAATGTTTATTAGGACCACGAAAGGAAAAACATAACATCATTGATCAAAAGGTCTAAGAGAACGCTATAGTTAAAAACTTTTAATGATTTCATAAATATTAGCTTTTTATAACTGAAAGTGAAGTCATGATTAATTTGTACTCATGTATACATTCTCGTGGAGTAACAAAATTAACAAAATATACATTTAAAGGGATTATCTTGAGTAACAGTATGAACTAAATACCAATAGTAAGATCTTGAACCCAAACACCCTTATATGGTGAAATCACTAATGAATTAATACTTCCAGTGAACGTACACCACTGAAATAAAAATATAGTTTTGTCTAAACTGATGGTAACAAGTTATTGACAGCAGTTTTTATAATTAAAAAAATATCTAAATTAGGTATTACAACAATTGTGAATTTTTAATACAATATTAATAATTGTTCATTCACTGAAAAAATCCAATTTTTAAAAAAAAAAAATTAATTACAATTTTAACGTTAGATAATTATAAATATGTTTTGTTATTAATATAAAAAATTTTTCAGATAACAAATATTCATTAACATTACGAGGGTGGCATCAAAATTTAAGCCAAAAATATTTTTAAAGAATAAAAAACTCTTCATCCTATTTATGAATTTTATAAAACAATCAAAATAAAAATGATAATAAAATTTTATACTTTTTATCACATGTAATTTTATAAATGTAAAAAAATATTGTATTCATATTTTTTTATGTAGTTTGAATTTAAAAAAAGAATAATAATTCAAATTTTGATTAAAAATATTATTTTTTATTATTTTTAATTTTTATATTGATTTTATCAGTTTATGTTATGATTTTCTTGATACACATAAATTATTTGTTAGTTTATTTAGATTCCATTCATGTGTTATAAAAAACTTCAATTTGTTTATATCATGAAATTAAAGTGTTTCAATAAGATGTTATTATATTTCTTATAAATTTATGATTAAAGTCTAATATTTAATTTAAATTAAAATATTTAAATTTAAATTTAAATTTTGTATAGATTTCGAATTTTATTGTTATTTTCTATAATGAATATTGTTTTTATACTTTTGTTGAATTCAATAGAGTATTGAACACTAATATTTATTGCTTCAGCACTAAAAACAAAAATTGAGTAATTTTTATATTAAAAGTTCAGAACTAAATTTTATAGCAGATGCATATTTCCCAAATATGACATTATAATAACATATTTATTTCACTCGGTTTCCCTCATAAGTTGACAGATTTTATGATAAAATTATCTCTACTGAGTGTAACAAACGACAAAGATTTATACATTTTTATTTTATTACAGTATTTTTTTTTTAGAAAATTATTCTTTTAGGGTATCTCGAAGCATAATTCAAGCGTTACGGTCTCGTGGGCTCCGGCCGTTACTTTGTCCTCTTTTTAAATTATGTAAAAACTTTTTCCTTTACCACACGACCGCCAGTTTATAAAAACAAAAAACGACAAATATACTTATATAGCCCTTTCATACACATGTTTACGTTCTTTAATAATGTAGTATGAAGTTTTTCATCTCGAACGACAAAAGAAACTTCATTCAAACATAATTTAAATAAGTTTATTCAATAAAATATATAAAATTGATGATTAAGGCATATTTCAAAGTATTAAGGCTGTTTATTGAGTTTTGAATATTCAATTTTAAAATCTTTATTTTAAAGAAATTATATCCTTATTAATTAATCTCATATTTTGTAAAAATAGCTTTTTGTCATATGCATATTAACTAATAATTGATTTCTAAGAAACAAGTAATTAATATTACTTATTTATTTTAGTAGTTATAACATTTTTAATACCTATTAGTTATAATCTACTATTAATTATCATAAACATTTTGTTTAAACTTAGAGACTTTAATTTAATGAATTATTAAAACTAAATTATATTAATCAAGTTACAATAAAGTAGAATACTTAGCACCAACAAAAGTAATTAAAACCTCATAGAAAATAATATTTCCTATTTTAATTATTATGTAAAATGACTATCGAATTATCTTAGAAGTATAAATTAATTCATAATATTAATTAAATTATAGAATAATTTATTTAAGAGTATAAACAATACAAAAAATATATAATTTAATAATCTTAAAAAAAAATACTTGATCAAATGACAGGTTTAGTTTGGTTAAAAAACTATTTAGTATATTTAAAAATAATTATATTTGATTATTTAAGCTGTATATAATAAGAATTAGAGTTCATTGTATGTATTTAAATGTCAATTGTTTTTAAGGTTAAGAGTAATATTCTCATAGTATCAAAATTCTTCTGAGTTATATTTTTTGTTGTTTTCTAAAGAAATAGTACAATTTACTTTATTAAAAAAATATATTTTACTAGAGATAAGGTGTAAAAATTTATTGTAATATACAGTATGTTGGATCATTTTAAGACACAAAATAGGTTGAGAATACTATTATAATGTTGTTACTAGGAGTCAAGAGACACATTTATCACGTTCTGGTTAACTCATGGGGCCATATTTTATGTGAGGTACTTTTAGTGGAAAAATATAAAATTTAATAACATTTAAATAAATACAAGAGAATTACTGGTTTAAATAGGCGTTAATATTTGTACAATAAGTAAAAGTAATTTTTATTAATATATCTGTGTACAAATTTTTGTATTGTGTATCTTATATGGAAGACAGTAAAGACAAGTTAGCACATTGAGATTTCCCAGAAACTGCATTAAATTATAACATGTGAACAATTTGCTTAAGATGTTTTTCTACTCATTAAATAATAGCTCAATTGATAAACAAATATTTAAAATTCGTAAATGTGTATTTATTCATAGTAAATTTTAAGTATTGTAATTAATAATAGTGTGGATAAACAATATTAGAATAATAGTTATATATTATCAATTCAATGAATTAAAACGGTTCAAAATTGTAAAAATTTTTAGGGTTTTGCTTAGTTTCGTGAATAAATATTAATTTTATGTGAAATGAATAATGAAGTTGCACAAATATATAACATCAAATTAATTGACGACCTCTAAGGTACAGATAACCTATAAAGATGGTAAAATTTTGAACATAACACTTTAGATTATCTGTAAATCTGTAAATTAGAGTATCATATTTTTACGGTCAACTTCATTTGCTATATATTATTTATTGATAGAATTTTCCGTTTCCTTTTTTTTAAGGAATTTTTAACTATTTATCAATATTACATATATATATATATAAATTTATCATATAAAATTTACTTATCCTTGTTAAATATTTCCGTTAAAGAATACTATATACATATACAGCTCTCAAGTTGGATTCTCATTTTGGTCCCCAGAGGCTTTTAAAGTATAGACATAAAAGAATTCCAATATCTCATAATGACCGGAAGACTTGTAAAATCCCTTAGGGTTACATATTCCGTGATATTTAAAATATGTAATTATTTGTTATTTAATGAAATATAATTCTGACCATGTAAAACATTATAAACATTTTAATTTATATAAATTTACGCTTTATTGAAAAAGTTGTGTTGTTTATGAAATAAAATTTTAACGTCTAAAGAAGTGATTAATAATACAAGTATCTTACACAGTATTTGTTACACTAAACAAACATTCTACAAATGTTACTAGATACTTTATTTGCTATACTAATAAAATTACTAAATAAATTAAATACCAACAGTTTTTTTTTTTTTATTAAGTTTCACTGGTTTTTAAAATATCAAGAAACTTTTCATTTTAAGACTAATGTAGTCATACAAAAAGAGCATAAACACAAAAGTATCTACATCACTTATATTTTGAAGGACTACTATTTAACGTATTAACTATTTATACTTTTTAGAAAAGCAAACTTAAATTTTTATTTTCTGTTTAAGGTAAAAAAATTGTATTTCTTATTAAAATAATATACCTTCCAATAATTTACCATTAATATTACATTATGTTAAAATTAAATACACTAAAAATATATAATGAAATTAAAAAATATTATATACTTTTTGAAATAGATATTCGATTACATATTACACAATTAGATTTACTGTTATTTTTCACTCGATTCCAGAATAAAAAAAATAAAACAAAACAAATGTCTATGTAACAATATAAACAAATCATAATTGTCAAAAATATCAAAATAAATTTAGCATATTCTATTGACCACAATGGAAGGAGACTAATCTCTTCATAAAAATCATAGTTACAATTCACAAAAAAATACAATATACATTTTTTTTTTAATTTTTCAGCTTTTGAATAGAATAAAATTAATACAAAATAAAGTAATTTAAAATTTAAAACTATTATTTTTTCTATATATAGCATATTTTAATTTCTTTATATTTTTTTATTAAATTTATTTTAATATCTGTATTTATTGATCATAAGAAATATAATATTTTTTCAATAATTACAAGGTTGAAATAACTGCATAAAATATGAAAAATGATCAAAAATTGTTAAAAATATAATAAATGTAGATGAAAACACTGAAAATCGAAATATTTTTAAGCTAAATTTAAAAAATATAGCTTAAATTTATTCAATCTTTAAAGAAAAATATAATACCGATGAATGTAATATAATATTTATTTCAACACATTCTTATTATAAGAATGGCAATCTTACTAATATATTACTTAAAAGTAATAATCTATTTATGTAATTTGGTAATTATGTTTAAAAGTCTCTACATTTACGTATTTATATGGCTTACAATGTTTATGCATTTATCAAAAAATTTGTATATTTTCAACGCATTACTCTTTACATTTTTGTGGCTTCACAATATTTATTTCTATGGCTTCTTAATGTTTACGTATTTCTATGGCTTCTTAATGTTTACGTATTTCTATGGCTTCTTAAGTTTACCAATTTCTATAGCTTAATTTTTTGTATTTTTATGGCTTCTTAAGTTTACACATTTCTATGGCTTCTTAATGTTTACGTATTTCTATGGCTTCTTAATGTTTACGTATTTCTATGGCTTCTTAAGTTTACCAATTTCTATAGCTTAATTTTTTGTATTTTTATGGCTTCTTAAGTTTACACATTTCTATGGCTTCTTAATGTTTACGTATTTCTATGGCTTCTTAATGTTTACGTATTTCTATGGCTTCTTAAGTTTACCAATTTCTATAGCTTAATTTTTTGTATTTTTATGGCTTCTTAAGTTTACACATTTCTATGGCTTCTTAATGTTTACGTATTTCTATGGCTTCTTAATGTTTACGTATTTCTATGGCTTCTTAAGTTTACCAATTTCTATAGCTTAATTTTTTGTATTTTTATGGCTTCTTAAGTTTACACATTTCTATGGCTTCTTAATGTTTACGTATTTCTATGGCTTCTTAATGTTTACGTATTTCTATGGCTTCTTAAGTTTACCAATTTCTATAGCTTAATTTTTTGTATTTTTATGGCTTCTTAAGTTTACACATTTCTATGGCTTCTTAATGTTTACGTATTTCTATGGCTTCTTAATGTTTACGTATTTCTATGGCTTCTTAAGTTTACAAATTTCTATAGCTTAATTTTTTGCATTTCTATGGCTCTATAGTGTTTACGAATTTATATGGTTTCTTAATATTAACACATTACTTTGGCGTCTAAAATTACCAAAAATTTTAAGATAATATGCCGAACTCAACAGGGAGTTAAGTGCAGTTTGCGGAGTACACTCGATATTTCCGCTTAAATGCATTGTTTTTAGGAGAACTTAAGATTATAACGGTATACTTTGTATACTTTTTTGTATTCATATAACCTAATTCCAATAAAAACTGTAACTGAGGAACGATACTACACTTTTATAAAATATAAATTTCTTTAAAGTTTGTAATTTGTTTGAAAAAATAGAAATTTTCAAAAATCAAACCTTGACTTAAACCTTTATTATACAAACTAACCAACCAATCTTTTATTGATAGGTTGTGAAACACTTTTTTTTTAAATTTTATAACGCTTTCATAGTTATTAAAAATAATTAAACTTATATGTTTTATGAATAAAAATATGCGTATCCATGGAATATAAAAGCTTAAATCTATAATGTTTATTTGGTTCTTGCAAATAAATATATACTTACAATTACTTCACTGGATCCTAATTTAGGTTAATTTTTGTTAATTATTTGTTTGTTTTCTTTATAATCCTTAAGATCTATATATGTATACATTTATTCATTTGAATGCTTAGTTAGTCCACCAATAGAACCGAACCCTGGTATCTACATATCGAGTCCACGACATGTCATTGAATTAGTTAAACTGGCCACTTATCTATAAATTTATCTATTTGAAATCCTAGTTAATTAACAAGTTTACAGATAACCTTAAAGTTCTATTAAAGTAAAGATTAGTTTTGTATTTCTAACCATTATGATGTAGAACATAAACGCCTAAAATATGTTAGAGGTAACATGTTATAATTATATAAATGGTAAACCTCTTAAGTTAATCAATTTTTTAACTAGTTAAATCAATTTAATTTTGAAAATATTAAAAATATTAGTAGGAAGAAAATAAACGAATTAAATTAAAAGTTGAACTCTAAAAAAGTAACGAAATATCAAACATAATTAAAATTTCGTTTTAGCATTAATTTAACTTTTGACGTATTAATGCCTCGTCTTGATAAATGGATACATGATTGAAATAAAATTTATACTNCCTCGTCTTGATAAATGGATACATGATTGAAATAAAATTTATACTTATATTATTTTTACTAAATTGTTCAAACAATCATAAATAAAAGACTATAAAACCAAAACATATTTTCATAAAAAAAAAAATAATAAACTACTTTTTATGTGACCATGTTTTGTTATGTTTTAATAAATTTATATCTATATATCTAAAGCTAAATTAATATAAACCATATGAATATTTAGTCATTTAAATATTTTTCTATAAAATCATAATTTATTGATTTAAAACAATTTGGTCTCCAGACTTCAATTAAATTATTTTTCTTAAATAAAATCATTAATGAATTTACAACTGTAAAATAAAAGCAGTTCTAAATAGGTTGAAAAATTGATAAATATAGTTATATATTTTCTTATGAATAATATATATTTACTAGACACGATACTTTTATTATTTATTTAATATAATGTTTAATGCTAAACGGCTTTTTTATAATTGTAACAACCTAAACTATAATCTAAAAGTACAATTATAACAATTTTAGTATAAAAATTAAAATAGGCTATTGGGAATCGTGTTGATACTACATATTATTGTTAATTTTTTCGTTTTATTATTGGGTAGATAAAAAAATTGTGTGAAGTGATTATTACTTGGGATGCGTATACTGAGTTGTTCTAACAAAACGGGGTGCATCAATTTGGCCACATTGCAATCCTGATATAAAGCTAGTGATTCGAACTTTAAAAGATTATTAATATTACCATAGTCATGATTACGATAAGGAATATTTAAACAGAACTATACAAAATTACTAAATTGATTTTGAACTCAATTAACACCCAGTTTATCACGTGTAGTGTATGATGCTCATATTACAACACCATACTCCAAAACAGAGCATATCAGGGCACTATAAAGTTCATGATGACCACCGGACGAATTAAAATAGACAGAATGTCTTCTTATGAGACTGAGAGAATATAGAGCTTTACAAAATCTATAACGGGTTGAAAATCTAATGAATGTATTATAAAGAAATCCGAGGTCTTTAACTTGGTATTCCCGATTAAGTAGCAAGCGATCTAAACAATAATTACATATAAGTATGTCCCATGTATGACGATATAACTTTGCAATTAGGTATTTAAATTTAAATAAAAATACAACCAAACTACATTATTCTAAAATTATATTTATAAATTTTTGAAGAATTAAGCAATCTTTACGAGAGAGAATCGAGCGAAATATTTCAGTTTCAAAACTAAAAGGAGAACGCGGCACAGGAAAACTAGATAATTAACATTATTTATAAAAATATTGAAAAAATAAGCCATATTTGGCTGCTTTGAAATACTTCGGACAACACGGGAAATGGGCTCAATGTGCTACCGAATATACTTAAGAAGTGTTTATATATACTTCAATAGGATAGAAATCACGAAAGAATCTCCGACTCTTAATCGACCAAGGACAATTATCAAGTAATCATAGTGATACTTGATTTATAAATGATAAATTTGATTGATAAATGTCCTTGATCGATTGAACATATGATCAAAAAAATCAAACGCCTTTTTATCATCTGATGATATAACAACTACCTGTTGTTTTCATACAAACGTGACTTGAACAAATGATACAAAGTTATTGTGATTATTAATAGTTGAACGAAGAAGGTAAACAGAGCTGAAATTGTAGATAGTAAAGGTGATCAAAATTTTAAGCAAAATTAACTTTAAGATTTTCTCTAAAAATGGTAACTCAAGAAATTTTCCACATCAGTCCCATAGACAGATTTTAATATTAGCGTGATACAGCTGTTTTTATACATTGATGAAAAAACAATATTATATGTATTGAAATAATTCAATTAAGGTAAATGAAATTTGAAATAGATGATTTCCTTTTTTTATTCAGTCAATGACAGCCAGATATGCTATTAAATACATTTAATACGGGTAACTGAAATTGTTCAACCGATTTAACATTGAAATGAAAATTCTATTAAAAAAAAAATCTATTAACTATCAATATATAAATAGACAAAACACTAGACAATTTTTTTTACGAGGTAATAAATAAATAAATTTTATTTTATGGATAGATTCTATAGTTTATAAACATATTAGTTGATTACTTGTGTTATCATTGATGATATATATTCAATTTTAAATTTATATAGTAATGGGTTTTGTTTATTTGAAATATCAAATAGATAAATGTATAACTTATAGCAATTAAAAATATATTGAACATTTTTTTTTTTATACAAACATTTGTTTGTTAATAGCGTAAAGATTATTATTTATTTAATGATGTGTGGCCTTTAACGACTTTAAATTATTTTTCTTTATCAATAGAGTTAGCTTCCCAATACAAATTTTGATAAAACAAACACTTGATTCAGAACTATTGAAAATAAAATAATTTCACTATTATACATAAAATTTATCATAATTTTTTATTATTTACTATGTATTTATGTTGTCTTCTATGGTTTGAAAAAAAAAATTAATACTGGCTAAATAGTATTGTTTTTTAAAACATACGAAAGCATAATTTTTTTATTTCATGAATTACATTAAATTATTTAAGAAGGGCGTGATGTGATGCAGCGGATCATTAAGTCACTGTCTTAGTAATTTTTTCTGTCGGTTCTCGGATGGGTGACCATACGGGAACTCTAACAGTGTCACACGCCTTACCCATAGCTAGCTCCTTCGGCCATAACAAGGTTGCGTCAGGTCATCAGCCGGCGTAAAAATTCCTTTTTAAATCACTAAGTTGACCTAACTCTATATAATTAAGATAGATAGATATTAAATTATCTAAATGCCTATGTTCAAATTTGTGTAATCAAATTTAATTACAACGAGAGACCGAGGCTAGTCAATACACTTTTTACAATTTTGGCTCTTATATCAATAATATTTAAGGTAGAGTAATGAAATTTTATAAATAGCTTCAAAAACACATAGGCCTTAGTATAAGAAAATTATTTTTTTCAGTTTTATTTAGTTTGCAGATGAAAACGTTAAGTATAAATTTTGTTTCTACTTACTCCATTGCCGGAGCATGTTGACACAATTTTTAAAATATCTATATTTATGACTATAAATTTTCTTTTAGAATATAATTTTAATTAAATAAACAAAACAATTTTAGTATAATGTTTTATGTGATAATTTTTAACAAACTATAAATTTCAAACAAGGTTAAATGTGGAGATTTCAAGTATAATAAATAAAAATAAATTATTTTTGCAATAATTTGAAATGGTATTTGTTTTATTTTACAAATATAAACAGATAGGTTTAATTACAATTTGTTAATATAAGAAGCAAATTATAGTTTTATGGTGTTAGACAATAATATAATGTATACAAGTATTCGTATAAAAAAAAATAAACATATTAATTTTTATATGCTATATAGTATGTGAATGAGCTGCGTACGATAAGTAGAAGTTTAACTTCTGACCTTAATTCCGTCGTATCAGTGATGTCGAGTTTATTGGTTTAAGAGTTCAGGTATAGTTGATATTCGTGCGCGTTCATTCACTGTTTTCTCAAGCATAGTTCATTTATATTTTCATTTAATTCATCATGAAATACATGTTGTTTCTTTTTAATTTATATTACAGAGAAGAAGAAAAAATGTGTTTTCAAAAAAACATAACCAAAATTACCAATGTTACTACTTATCACACTTCCGATGTTGTCGCACATTATATATTTACAATACTCATCTTACTTTACAGTATCTTATCCAAACTGTACCATTACAAATTATTTACAAGTACATTGAGATATAACAGAAAAACCATC